GCAGTTTCCACCTGCAGAAAGGACCCAGCGAGCACGGCTTGCACCCTGTCACTGTCTGACTGACACAGCATCAAAGGCAACACCTGAAATATCCTTATTTATTAGTCATACATCACTTCTGACATGATTAGCACGGGATGACATATTTTAGAGTGAAGAAAGCAACAGACCCAGCCATACTGCCTGAGTGAGTTTTAACTCCTGCACCAGGAATTCCCAGCTGGCTGCAATAGCTGCATGAGTTCTCTGGCTCCCTCAGCAGACCTTCAGCAGGCCAGAGGAATAAAGACTTTAGCCAAGGCATGATCAACTTTTTCCAAGGTTTGTTCAGCACTCTTGCTTTTGCCTCTCTGGGTCTAGCCCTGGAAATGACCTCCCTGTAGCACCGGAACCTTGGCAAGGCGAAACCTGGAGAGGGAAAATTTCATCCTCACAACAGGAGACAGACCTGGTGAGAGAGGGTGTATCTGGTGCACAGCTAGGGAAAGAAATGGGGATTTAAACTCTGGCCAGAGCCAGGATTCCTGCCTCAGAAGAGGTGCACTGTCTTCTTGTGTGCAAACCCCTAATGGGAGATGGAGCCCGTGCTGCCCAGATGATCTGATTTTTATTCCTTTTCATGTTTGCTCTGCCAAAATTACAGCATTGAAACATTTTCACTAACCCTGCTCCACTGCTGAGTAGGTCAGCATATCTGTGTCCCAGCTAAGACAGTCACATCAAGCATGTGGGTGCTGTACCCCAGGGACCTGACCTGGACAGCCTGACAGCCTGGCATGGGCAATGCAGGATGGCTCTGAGCCACCTGGGACTGTGCTCCAGCTCAACACCAGGCTTGGCTTCTTTTGAGAATGCTTGAAGTAGGCCAACACTGAATTACTTTGTTGTGAGCCATTCCTTGGGAGCCCCCACAGCCAGTGGGTTTGTTACACCTTTCACAATTTAAGAGAGCAGGAGAACAGCAGAAAGTGCAAATTCCACCCTCAGTCAACACAGCCCCCTCTGGAAAACTCTTACTCTGGATATTTCAATTCACTTCCAGGACTGGTTTTAACACCTTCCTAACCAAGGACACAAAAAACATCAGAACTCTCAGTGTCTCACCATCATTTTGGGTTTCCCTAACAATCCTAGAAGTCAGTGAGTTTGGGGTTGCAGGGAGAGGTCACTAAATTAATCTGACAGGTACCAGCATCTCTGGTTTTAATCTCATCCCTCTCCAGGCATGCTTGTATGATACAAATTCACTGATTTAAATATTATTATTTCACGTACATATGACTTACTTAAAATTATGAGAGCTTTTCCTGGCCAGAGACAAATTAATGTGGCTCTACTGACTACACTGGGACTCTGCCAGAGTGCAGAGTCTGAGGATGTGAGGCTATAAAAACAGCATCATTTCTCTAGAAGCAGCTTATCCCTGGTCTCTGTTAGATCTGAAAGAAACCAAAACTTCTCAGTAACTCTGAATTATTGCAATTTTGGTAAATTGGAATTCTGGTATCAGTAATTTTCATGTGAAGCTCCATGTGACAGAGCTCAGGACTACCAAAACAAGCTTTTTGTCCCTTGAGCTAACTGAGGATGAAGGTGCAAAAATAAGCATGTTTGAGAAGTAAATTTGATTCTACAGGTTTTTCCTGTATGACAGGAGAGCTGCGCAGGTTTAAATTCACAAAATATTCTAAATTTCCTAGATGACTTAGAGTGGAACAGAGCAGGTGTATTATCCCAATACATCTCCACTTTCCCAGAAAAATACGAGTCAGAAATCCAACTTTCCAATTCTCAGTTCTCATGAGAGGAACTGGATTTCAAAGATACTCAGAAATATACAAAGGAAGGCAGGATCTGAGAAGTTTAGGGCTTAGCTCTAAATTTTTGCAGAGTCCCAGTGGTCTACTCCAGTTTCAATCAATAGTTTCAATTCTGAGGCTCTGGATAATATCCTGAGATTGAGCACGTGTCCATGGAAGACCCCAAGGAACAGGTAAGCAAATACATTCCTTGGCTCTAAACGATTTCCATGCAATACCGCTTGCATATTAGATACATATTCAGATAACATAGAGCACACACTCAAATGAATATTTGGAGTAGAAATGAACTAACAGCTAGCTCTAATCTCTTTTAAAGGTGACAAGCCTGCTAAAATGTTTTCAAGCGTGAGTCTACCCAAAAGCTGTGGATCTCTTGCCTTCTGCTGGGATCCCAGCACGAGGTGCTTTCCCTCCCTGCGGAGCTCCACCTGCAGAAGTTCAGAGTCTGAAGTCTGTGGAATTAATGTCCTTCACCAGACCATCTCCCCCCTGTTACCTCCCACCCCGTGGACCTCTGCAGGTGGAGGGTGGGAGTCCAGGAAGCACAGGAGCCATAGCAGGGAAAGAACTGAGCTGCTGGACTTGTAATTAAGCACAATCCATTTACAAGCCCAATTAGAAAAGTTATGGTTAATCCCCACTTGGGAGGGGGGCAGGCAGGCAGACGCAAAGAAATCTTGTTTAAGAGATAAGAACAACAGTATCTAATCCCAGCTGAAGTTCTTGCCTTTGTGCTTAGCTGAAATTACTCCACTGGGTCCAGCTCTCCCAAACTAATCCAGCTTTCATCTCATGACCTACATTACCCAAAGAGACTTTTCCAGTAATCACAAAGAGGGCACAGGTACATCCTCTGAATTTCCTTTTGGACAGCACTGCTGCTTCTGACACTCTCAGAGGCCCCTACAAAGGGCTAAGACACCCCCTAAACCCCAAAACATTTCCATATGGACCAGTGCCATGTGTTTTATGGCCCATTAAGACCAGGTAGCTACCTGGGGAGATGACTGAAGAATGAAGAATGGAGTTAATTGGGCCAGGTACACAGGAGGCAAAAGAAATTTGGCAGGCGGTCGCTCACACCACTCTAGCTGATTATCCTGGTAGTAAACCCTGCACTCTGAGACCACATTTGTTTCCCAGGCTCGGGAAAATATGTGCTTCCTCCTGTGTTCATTTAGTTGGTATGAGGACTGGTACACAACTCCTGCAGGAAAAAATAAAAAGAGCTTTCCATGGCCGTGCCATCCCGTGTGTGCCTTTCCAGCAAACTGCTTCCAGCCCATTTTGTTTCCTCTTTGATCACCAGAACTTTCTGCCAGAAATGACACATTAAATATTTGGCATTCAAGAAAATAAATAAAAAAGGTCAATGGGTAAAAAACGTATCCACGCACAGAATGGCAGTCCTAAAGAAACCAGGAGGAATGTCCTTGCCCTTTGGAAAAAAATCACACAGGCCAAAGGATGACTGCCAAAAAAGACTAATTCCTTTTATTAGACAGTGCATGTCTTAACCCCATTTTCCTTAATGCTTTAATACACATTTTACCTCATATGACACTGATGAAAAGTTAAAGCCACCTCAAAGAGTACAAGGGTGTATATAAGAAGCAAAGAAACACTTGGGTTTCCTCTTTACAAATGGGGAGGAAACAAACCTTTGTTCATTACAGATAGTAAAATGCTAAAAATGCATAATCAATTTTTCAGCCTTCCAATTATTCTCACTACAAACAGCCATGTAGTTCTAGCAAACCCATAAAATATTTCATTTTTGTCTCTCTCTATACATGCAGCACAATTTCAACACCCAACACAGTGTACATTGTTATTGGTGAGATTTTCAGGAGACAAAAATCAAACTGTCTGAGGACTAGATTCCTGCAACATAAAACTGCAAAGATTTTACAAAGATTTACTTTTTGAAGTACATGTTATATTCTTGTGTCAATCAGCTCCAGTGAGATTCATCATATATATTCATCCATAGGCATAGGTTTCTGGAATATCAAGCCCCAGATAGGTGGGGGTTTTTACAAAATATTATGAAAACTAAATTAGATTTTATGTTATTCTAGTATCTATCAGCCTTGACTTTAAACCACATGCTTCATTTACTTAAAGAGAGGAAGAAGAAGCAGGGAACAAAAAGGTTTCCATGAAAATGGCCCTGTTCTAGAAGGAACCCGGTTACATCTGTCCTTACACTGCCAACACACTCCCCTGCCCTACCTGGACATGAACCACTTTAAACAAAAAAACATAGATATACCATTACAGCTTTTTTTCAGTCTGTCTGTAGAAACTGCCACATGTGCAACTGAGAAACAGTACCTAACCCAGTAATAGCTTTCCCTTTCCAAGAGGAAATATTTGCCTCAGCGTACGACAGGTTTAGAAATTCAAAGTTCCTAAAAGCTGAGCTATGTTTGCTTTCCACAGACATCAGATAAGACCGTTCACATGAAATGCAGGTATGGTTCAAAATAAAGTAGCAACACAAAAATGTATGCTGAGATACAGAAACACAAGCCCTGAACAGCAGAAGAAATCATTCAAAAAGCTGTGTTATCACACACGCATTCACCTTGTTTCTTACATTCAAAGCGTACCAAAGTTCCAGCCCAAAATGCACTGACAGAAAAAGTTGCTCAACTGCTTAAACTTCACGTTTAACACATTCACTGCCCTTTGCAAAGTGCCTCAATGGGTTTAATCTCACAAACACCCCAGAAAACTGTGGCCAAATATTATCACCCAGCTTATCACTACCATTTGTCCTCATCTTCTTGCGTATATACCAACAAATATCCTTTTTTTTTGCTTTTCCAACTGAAGCAGCCAGTTACCTGCTGTGCTTTGTAAACTCCCATCCACATTCCCCAGGATAACGTGCCGTGCAGCACAGTGAGGAGAGCTCACTCAGACACAAAATAATTCCCAACTTGCTCAAGTAAAGTCTCTCCACTGCATTCACAGGCTGAGCTATGTGTCAACTGTATTTATTCACCACTGAAAGACTACACTTTACAGTTATAACCCTGGCAAATACTGAGCATTTAAATAATTCTGCTTTTCCTTATCTGCACAAAGGGGTTTTATGCCTCTACCACAGCTGTACACAAAAGAATAGAGTGCCATTTCAAACCAAAACTCTCTGAAGTTACTACTTACCAGCTTGTGATTATATATTCAGCAACCCCGAAGAGCTGAAAAGATTTTGTTGCAGGAGACAAAAAGTTACAAAAAACCAGGCAGAGTTAACAAAAATGAAGGGAAACTAGCATAAATCCTCTCTTCATTCATCTGCTTAAATGTTCCTGAAGATTAAAAAGGACCTTAAAGAAAGCACTCTCAGCAAAGACTACATCCTCTTGTCAGTCAAACCCTGCATAGTTTCAGCTAGGCATCCGTCCAAAAAGACATGGAATTATTCTATTTTTGTCTCCCAATGCAAGTGGAAACATTTTTACAGATTTGTGGTGAGGATTTCAATTTTTGTAGTGGTCAGCTAGTAGAGGAATGTAATTAAAGACCCTGATAAATGTAAGATAGTCCAGAAAGGAGGAACTGGATAAATCTGGAGATTAAATAACAATTCTGTTACAATTACAGTCTGATATAAAAACACACAAAAAACTTTAAATGAAGTTAAAAATCCAGATGTGGTTAACTGGAAGAAAGTTGTAAAATCCTTCTCTTTTAAAAGAAAATTGTTATCAGTAGTGGGACACCAACACAGTTTCAACAAGTGTGGGCTGATGTTTTTTAATTAAATAATTTTAATTAAAAAAAATTCATTATATTATGCAGAGCATTAAGAGTTTGGTTTACCACCCATGTTATGTCTGGTATGTTACTGGTTTTACACAACACAGGTGTTTCCTTAGAAGTACTTCATATGTTGCTGTCTTACAAAATAAACCTTCTAAACTTCTGGCTTTGTAAAGTAGGAAAATACTTGGGAAATTATGTTTGGCTTCTATTGCATTTAATTTTTGCTCCTATTCTATCAGTAAAAAAGTTTGGCCATTTCCCCTGTACCTTCAGTCTGGAAGCTGACTCTGAAACTCGGTGTACATCATTACTGATCTGTGGAGCTCTTCAGATCTGAGACTTTCCTCAGAAGAGAAGCTTTTAGTTCCATTCCCCAAAACTCTGTCATCATTGAAGAGGATGAACTTTTGTCCTTGCTGCCTTCTCCTCTCTGCTCCAACTTCCTCATCCATTGTGCCTTTCACAGTGGCTGCTATTCTGCTCTCATCCACCCTTTCCTGATGTGCTCCATCGCTGCTCTTTTCCATTATGCACTGATTTCTAGTCCTCTTTGCAGCTCTGAGTCCCTGTCTCCAGGTCCTGCCCAGCCTCAGAGCATCTCCAGCCACTGCTGCCTGCTGGGCTACCTTACACACTGCTCCTAAAGCTGTAGAAATCTCCCTTCTGATTTAGTCCAAGAAGTGAGTTGGTCCTGGCTGTCATCACTCCTCAGGTCAAAGCTTTCATCCACGTGCACTAGAAGACGTGAGAGAGCTCTAAGTTGGAGGATTGCAAGGAACAAACGATACATATTTTAACAGAGAAGGAAAGGAGCACTTGCTGTCCCCCTGCTCCCTGGTTCTTAACTTACATGTTGCTTTTTTGCTTGGATTTTTTACATTCCCTTACAGTGTAAATGTCCTTGGGGTAGGAATTTTCTCACACTGTGTTTGAATTAGTCTCTGGAAAAGCAGGATCCACTCTTTTCACACTGCAAAGCAAACAAGAAATAAGATCTTTCTTTAACATCTTGCTACTTATTATCTTCTTCCTCAAATCACTGCCCTTCTGAGATGCAGCTTTCAACTAACTGCAGAGATTTGTTTTAGTTTTAGGGATGAAAAAGAGAGTCTAAAAAACCCCTGTGTAGATGGGTGCACATTGCTACCCACACAGGACTAGAAATGAGTGGGCTACAGAAGCTTCAGAAGGACAAGGAAGTTGCTTCCCTTTGAAACATCTCAGGCACATTACAGAGCAGGTTTCTCTAACCAGGATCATGATGTGCTATCTCTCCATTCTTGAATTCTCATGTTGCTGAGAGTGGGACAAGAGAATGTGGAGGAGAGGAGCACAAGCTGGTGCACAGGGGGGCACAAGAAGAGTGAAACGAGTCCTAAATGCCAAGGAGCAGTTCTGCTTGGATTACATCAGAGAAGGCAGGATAAGGACAAGGCAGGATTGTCCCTATTAAACTTGTCAGCCCTTTTCTTGTTGACATAGGAGTTGAATCTTGCTCCTTTCCTACAGGATATCTGGAAATCCTTCGCTGGTGACGTATAGAGAAACATCTACCTCAGGAAGTGCCACAGGGGTGCCCAGGGAACCACAGACTTTCTTCAGCCTCATTTTTACCTCAGACCTTATGAATAAACACAGCTTCATCCATTCCATGTCCTACAAGCCTGCCCATATCTGCTCTGGCACCTACATATGGACTGTTCCCAGTCCTCTTCTTCCAAGATTCCATCTGACTCCAACCTTTAGTTCACTCTCTTGCCATCCTCTCCCACAGTAAAACTGTGGCTGTTTCTACAGCTTGTTCCTTCCTGGGCAGCCTTTCTCTCCAGCCCCCTGTGACTGTGCTGAGCAGGGCAAGCCTGTCCTTGCACCCACAGCAGCTCCACCTGCACCTCCTGTGGACAGAGCAGTGCCTCCCTGCATGGGCCAGCACGAGGCTTTGGTTCTAATTCCACTTGCCCCAGTGTCATCAAGAGGATGAACGGTGCTTTTAGGATGAGCAAAAATAATTTAGGGAGTCTGCAATTTACCAAAAGACCTGTGAATGATGTGCTCAGAGCAGCTCCTAAGTAATAAAAGACTTGTGGTGACACAAGCAAGGCTCTCAAACCTTCTGCTCCTCACAGCAGAGAGAGGCTGCCAGCATTCCCAAGCCTTCTCTCTGCAGTGGACAACCCAAACTGGCACTGATGTAGATCACTGTTAAGCTCCACCACCAGCACCTGATGTTGAATACAATTCCCAATCATTCTGATATAGAAAATATAGGAAAACCATCAAGGCTTTGCATTGTTAAGGTCTAATTAACACCACATTTCTTGCTGGCTGGCCATCAGCCACTATTACACCAGTATGACATTGACTTTTAAAGTGGAGATGTTTTATTGCACTGATTGCTTAACTGTCTTGTTCTAAAATTGCCTGGTCTCCAAAATCCATCCATTTTAAAGAGTTCCTAAGAGGCAAAAAGCACTGGATTAAGATTACTGTTCCGTTATTGGTCAGAGTGTTAATTTCCTTCCTGTGATACCAGGCTGCTTATCATCTTTGACAAAACACTTAATTGCTGTTACAACCCCCACCGCTTTTTCATAGGTGCTGTCAAGATTACTTTAATTAAAATAATATCTATTCAGAGGTTAATGAAAATAGAGAGAGAAAAAAAAAAATCCAGCAGGGATTTGTCATTTGCCATACTTCATTCCCCAGGATTCATGGAGACCAAGTGGGACAAGGAAAACACCCCTGTGTGGCTTCCACAAAGATATGGCTCCATCTCACTCAGTTTGTCATGCAGATCCAGCATGCTTTCCACAGAGAAACCATCAAAGTCCTTGTTACTCACCTCAGAAATACCAGTGACCATGGGGCATGTAAAATCTCCTTTATTAAGTCAGATGCTACTCTGATAGCACCATAGATATAACCTGGGGTCACGTACACTTTTTCAGAGGTAAGATAATTTGGTATCAAAAATGCATTTCTTTCTATACATTTTAAAACCAAATAAACAATACCATATGTGGGAATCCCATGCTTCCAACAATAAATGCACTGAACACATAATACATTTACTCAATACAACTTTTTTTTTTTAAAGCAGACTAATCTCCACTTTAAATAAACCTTGCATATAATCAGACAAATCAATATCTATTTCTCTTTTTTTTTCAGTTAGAAACCCTCACTTAGTGCTAAATTCTATCTCTGCAAACTGCTAATCTAACAAATTACAGGTTTTCAGTCAAAGCAGCACATTTTGTTCACTGTATGGTTACAGTCCACAGACTTTGGAGACTGTTTCAGTAAAGTTTCTAGAAGTAATGCTTATGAGTGTAGAGCTCACTGACTCCCCTGTTTCCAATACAAATTACAGCCTGCTGGTGTATCTTTGTGTGTAGGTGATAGCAGGCACATCAGTCACTTTCTGCAGCAGAAGCAATGCCTTTGGGGGTGGTTGGCCAGAATTCCAGGCTCCCCTTCTAGCTCAGCCCCTTGTTGGCTCTGTGGTCTCACTTTCTGTCCCCTGATAAAGCCACTGCTGGTTGCTTTTTACCTGGGAAAATGGTCACCTCCCCAGCTGGCTACCTGCTCCCACTGAGGGGAAACTGCAAAGTGCACATCTCTGTACAGACAGCAGAACCAGCAATTGTTTTCCCACAGATTTCCATGCTGTTTATTAAACTTCCTGTTCTCAGTTCCTTGCCATGTGCCATATTACACCCATTATGGCTCCCCTGCTTCCTTCTAATAGTCCCCTCAAGCTCATTTCCAGATGACAGGCAGTTCCTGAAAAGAGCAAGAGCAGCTAATTCCTCACTTTTCCCCTAGTAGGAAACCGATTTGGATGCAGCTTGTAGTCCCTTAGTACCTACTACAGGTTGGAATTTTTCAGACTTTCCTGGTTACACAGCTGCCAGGTGTGTCCCACTCCCTCCTGCAAGGTCCCCATCCCAGTCCTGATGTGAGGGTACTGAGGACAGCTGACAAAAATTTGTCCTCCATTCTGGAAAGCAGAACGCTGCAGCAGCATAACACAGCACAGCTGGTGTAAACTTCTTATGGATTTACTATTGTGTTACGTACTGCTCAGGTAAAAAACATACAGTTGTTAGAAAAAGCTATGTATGAGTGCCAAAAAAACCCTGGGACACAAACTGGAAGGAATCTCTTATGAAGTCAACATTGCTGGTCTTTGTCAAGAGGAGACAGAAAACCGAGGGCCTACTGAAAATAAGGAAAAATCTGTCTGCACAGGCAGTGTCAGAGAGATTTTCTTGGCCAAATAACTGCCTCACACTGCATCTGAACACATCATATTCCCCCCATCCTGCCTGCAAGCATGTCTTGTTCCGTTAAAGGGAATTCCTTCTAACTTAAACTTGCCAAACATAAATCAGCCTTGAATAGGAATAATTAGAGTAAGTTT